TTTCTCACAGCACTTGTTAGTTTAATATCAGTTTGATGGTGGATCCAGGAAGGGTTAAAACGACCAACTGGAGGTTCACCCGCTGTAAAATGCGAAAGACTTCGGAGTGACTACAGAAGAAGAGAGACTGCAACGGCCCATGCGGAAACAAGAATAATATCGGAAGGGCATTAAATGTAGTCGCGCAATGCTGATGTTGTTAACATAAACAGTTTGAGATTAAAGTATAATTTGCACGGTTGACATGATATGATAAGTGATCATTAGATTTAATCAGCGTGATTTACTGCAATGCTTGTTTTGCCTGTGTTGGTCAGAACAAAAGTGGATGATGACATTTTCTGGGGAAAATTCTTATGTTGGTCATAATTCCAAAAAGTCGAACCGGCAGCAACTGGGAGCCGCACACTCTCAAAACACTGGATTCATCCGCGCTGTGCCGAGCCGAGGCACAACCCACGTAAAGCCGGTCATTCCGACAACTGCAATTGCAGATTTCGAACAGAGATGGCGACAAAGAGGAAAAACTGCACACTGCAGCTTTAAAAAAAAAATTACAGGACATATATATTTCCTCCCTGTCATGAAATGCTTAAATTTGCTTATTTTTCAGTTGCATTACATACTTGCTAGTTTTGGTTTTTTCCTGTTTGTCTCACTCTCTCTTTCTGCTTCTATCTGTGCTACAGGAATCATCTGGAGAGAGACGAGCCGCATCTGAATAGTGAGTCAGATAAAGCAAGATTTTTCAATAATCATTGGTCAGATCTCATTCAGGATGTTACAAATGTCCAGATCAATGCAGATTAACTGTGTCAGCAGCAACTAATTCACGAGGAACAATATTCCGAAATCACACATGAAAGTTTAACTCATTTAAGAGAGCATGAGAAAGATGAGAAGCACAGAGATCCTGTGAAAGCTAAACTCATCTCAGTTCTTCAGGAAGAGAAGCTTTACCACTTTTGAACATTGGTCAGCTTAATCTGCATGTGTTTAAAGGAGTAGTTCACCTTTTTAAAAACCTTTGCTGATAATTTACTCTCCTCCATGTCATCCAAGATGTCCATGTCTTTCTTTCTTCAGTCGAAAAGAAATCTTTTCTTCAATGGGGTCCAAACGGTTCAAGGTCCAAATGAGAGTTTCAGTGCAAACTGTTCAAAGGGCTTTAAACGATTCCAGACGATGAATAAGGGTCTTATCAAGCGAAACGATCGCTCATTTAATAAATAAATAACAAAGTTTAAGTTTTATAAGCTCAAATGCTCACCTTGCTCTGTTCTGTGATGCGCGTTCGTGACTCTCCTGTTCAAACTCATTCATCAAAATGAACAAAACTTTTTTCATTCAATTCGTTTGTTTCGTTCATTGAATGAACCAAAAGACTCGGAAAAAGATTTGTTCATTTTGATGAACGAGTTCGAACAGGAGAGTCACAAACTCAAACTTGTTTCGCATGATAAGACCCTTATTCATCGTCTGGTGTCGTTTAAAGCCCTTTGAACAGTTTGCACTGAAACTGTCTTTTCGACCTTGGACCGTCTGGTTCCCATTGAAGTCCATTATATGGAGAAAATCCTGGAATGTTTTTATCAAAAATTTCTTTTCGACTGAAGAAAGAAAGACATGGACATCTTGGAATACACGGGGGCGAGTAAATTATCAGCAAAAGTTTTTTTGAAAGTGCTGAACACAAACTGAAGACTTTTCTAGTAGTGATTCAGGCGAAATATTCTTTTAACCAAATATATACATAGCAGCTTTGACTATCTTCCAAAATATTAATTCACACTAACATTTAAGGATGCTCATTACGGTTAATTTTCCCGACCGACAACCGCCGCTCATTGATCGATTATTAACCGTTAACTGATAAGATTATAATATTGAATTGGCATTAAATAAAAAATAAAATTGGCGCGTATTTGTGAGCCATTAAAAAAAACAAACAAATGTTTTTTATTTATCAAAGGGTTTATTTTAACGTGCAAACAGCAGCATACAGAACAGATATACTGGATATAAATATAGCTGTGAGGAGCAATGGCGAGCCCAAGCCGGCGGCACCGCATCCCCGGTGCCTTAGTTAGGTAACGAAACAGCCACCTAAACATCCACATTCAGACCAAAATAGCCCACTTCCTGTTGGACTGGCTTAAAACTTAGAGCACGGTTTCATATTATTACTTGCAAGTGTGTTTGGTTTATGGACCAAGTTAATTTAATAAATAAACTAATTATATTAAACTATTGTCACTGCACTACAATTAAACTGGTTATATGCCTTTACTTTATGAATAAAACTTATTTAGACATAAATTAGGACATTTTTTTTTCCTTTTTAATGCAGGCCAAACCACACAGCAATGAAATGGTTAATCTAGTTAATCTTAAATAAATGATGAGCATGAGACTTTTATTGATCAATTGATGTCTCTTTGAAAAAGACTAATTGGGAGTGTCAAGTTTCCCACTTTTTTATTCAGCTCTGCCCAAACTTGATATGGCGTTCAAACATTGAAGGACGCAAGAGAAAGCAACTCATTGACTTGACTGTTTATTTTCTGGGATTGCAGAGGTATTTGCAGAAGCAGTAGTCAGCAATAAGTCAGAAATAGATCAGCAATAGGTTGATAATCTTTAAAGATAAAATTAGACAAAAGAAAAACACATTAATATAACAAAGATGTTACTTGAACTAACATTTAACGTCTCATTTACCTTCAATATAAATCAACTAAATCAAAATGCTTTGACACAAAATAATAAATGTTAACAAACTTAAACACCTTTCCCTCAAATCACACCAAATCATACAAAATCTTAGCATCAATCAGTAATGTAGCAAGCAAACTAGTAAAATCCATCAAATATGCTGAAACACAAAACTGATCTCTTACAACTTATAGTTTACATCAAAAATAAATAAATAAATTCATGTTCATACCAGTTGCTTCTTCAAGTTTGAATTTGTTTTAACTGAATGTGGGTGAAATTCGTTGCAAGTCCAGCAAGAGATCTTCTCCAAACTTTTCACCTGCTCTTGTGGTGCACCACTTTATTGTGCCCCCTTGGAAACAACCCCTCCCAATGGTTCCTGCCCAGTCACCACACTACACTGCCCTCTAGAGGAATTTTTGAGTATAACAGAATTTAAAGAAAAACCTCATTGTTTTGACGAAACAGGGAGGTTTAGGTTTAATCCAAGTCTTATGAGGTGAGATGATTACTTTGTATGATGAGCAATTTTGAGTCCTATTCTTTCAAATCAAATCTGTGATCAGTTCATGTCTACAGAAGCCAAATCAAACATGGTTATGTCAATAATATCAACCCTCAATAGTGGTTGTGTCAGGATTTGGGCTCTGTAGACAGCAGAAACATCTCTAAAGATCTTCAGTGTTGGAGGATTTCTTCATGTGTTAGCGATCGCTTTCCCTTGACATGATAATCACACTCTTCACGTCTGTCGATTTCCACAGTCGCTGTTCCCAAGACCAGGAGCGAGTTCCTTCAATGTAAGTCAGAAAACTCTCTCACTGTGTTCATGTTCTTCTGGAGAAGCTGAGAGAAAAATTGATCATGTAAATGATGATTAAACTGTGCTGAGACATGCTGATATATTGAACATGAGAGAGCTCAGCTTCATAAAAGATCAGATTCATAATTCCTGATTGTGCGGTGTTTTATCTCCATCAGATTCCCATCCGCTCACTCTGGATATGAACACAGTGCACACACTCCTCCATCTGTCCGAGGACAGAAGAGTGATTACTGTCCATTTCCCAGAGGAGGCGTATGTTGATCATCCAGACAGATTTGATCATTATCCTCAGGTGTTGTGTAGAGAGAGTGTGACTGGACGCTCTTACTGGGAGATCGAGTGGAGTGGTGATGGTTTTGTGCATATAGCAGTGTCGTATAAGGGCATCAGCAGGAAGGGATCAGGGAATGAGTGTGTGTTTGGAGGTAATGATCAGTCCTGGACTTTGATTTGCCTTCCCTCCAAAACTGCATTCGGATACAATAACAAAATGGCGTATCTCCCTGTAGTGTCCAGCGGTATAATAGGAGTGTTTGTGGATCACAGTGCAGGAACTCTGTCCTTCTACAGGGTCGACAGAGACACAATGAACCTCATACACAAAGCCCAGACCACATTCACTAAGCCGCTCTATCCGGGGTTTGCGGTTGGTCTTGGATCAGTGAAACTGTTGAAGAATTAGAATAGACTGTAGAGAGATTCTACCCATAATGCTTTGAGCTGTGTCATAAATCATAAACATTGAGATGTTATGGAGTCTTTTATTTTCTCTTCATTACATTAATAACAGCTGAACTTCTGTTTCTGAAATATGTCAGAATAAATGTGTGTAATAAATCCTCATATAGACATCAATGTGTGTGATGGTGTGTATCTGTGCTTTTCTCAAGCTCTGTTTGTGTTCATGAAGATCAGTCATTTAGTTTTGTAGTAGAGTCACATCACTCATTTATAATTTATGCATCTTAAACGTATTTTAATCCAGGTGTATTTTAGGGGTTCAAGCACTGAAGCTGCTGCAACATTATTGTATTTGCACTGTTTTATCAGTTATTATTTTTCTGCTCTAAACATGTCTGGGCGTCAGATACCCCTTTTCCACCAACAAGAACCAGGTGCTGGTTCAGAGCTAGAGCTAGTGTCGGTTCGAGTTGGGTTAGGTTCGACTGATGAGCCTCCAAAGAACCGGTTTGCTTTTCCACAGGCTAAAGAGCCAGCACGGGGCCAGGTCTTACATCACCGCTCTGCTGGAAAAACCAGCATAGACCAGCATATGTTGTGTTTTGGTGCTGGTATGCTGGTGACCAGGATGCTTGTGAAAATCATGAAAATACAAGCTTACATTAAAGCCACACCATGCAGTCTCAGATTTTTTTGTAAAACAGTGACCTCTAGAGCCGCTGTGGTGTACTTGCACTGTCGTAAATATCCGTTATTCCCCTGTTACTGCATATCTACTACTGTCAAGTGTTAGACTGCTTTTTAATAATAAAGTTGCCTATCACGTTTGCTGGCTTATAACGTTTTTACATGATTTCTGTAAAATCAGAAGTAATACGTTTGGACTACTGTATAATTTCATTTATGTTAATGTAAACATTACAAAATGTCAGATGACATCAATAAAGTTAAATGTACGTCGAATTATTTCATAACATTGGCCGTTATGATTTCATTAGACATGATTATTACAATTTATCATAATAGCAAATTGTGTTCAATTATTTACAACCTCTAAGCTTATATACTGTATGTCCTAATAATTATGTGAGATATTGACTTCCTCATGATAATCGCAAAAGAATCAACATCAACAGCGTCAAGATTTAACTGATTCATAATCAACACAATTTGAAGTAAAGTTACAGTCGGGAAGTGCACTGTTAGTCAGATAAAGTTTATATAACAGTAACTTACACACGTCATAAGAAATCCAAACCAGACACAGGACTAAAGTTACGTGATAAATACACATCACAACACCTGAGTTCAGCTGGCAAACTAGCTCTTGTGGCAACCTCGGCAATAAAACATCACGAAAAAAACAACAAGACTAAGAGAAACGACTGTTTGTTAGGAAGTTTGCTTACAGCTCTGGTAATTGAAAGCTATACCCAGATAGCAAACTGACATTGAATCAACGTGGAAATATGACATCGAAACAACGTTGATCTGACATTGTTTTGCTCATCGAATTAACGTTGAACCAACGTCAGACGCGTCATTCTTTCAAAACTAACGTAGCCTAAAATCAACTTGAAATCAACGCGTTGTTTCAACGTTATGAAAGCAAACCAATTTTCGATTTTCATTTAGCTTTGAAGAATGCCGCGTCTGACGTTGGTTCAACGTTAATTCGATGAGCAAAATCAACGTTGTTTCAATGTCATGAGAGACGTCGTTTCCACGTTGATTCAATGTCAGTTTGCTGTCTGGGTAGACATGTGAGAATTATTGAACTGGTCTAATTATCAACAACGGATGAATGAACAGCACTGTAAAATATGACAAACTACAAGCCAGCGCAGCAACATACAACATAGAACGCAAACAAGTTTACAAATAAGAGATTTACTTACAAGTCCATCAACAAGATCGCCAGGTCAGCATCGCAGTTACAATCCAGTGCAGCGCCAATCCTAAGCCAACGAGTGAAAGCCCGACCGAGGGGACTCCGGTCCGGTTTCTAGCACGGTCCGATTCTCTTTCCCTTTTTCTGGACATTTCTGACCGAGTTGTCTTGGATGCGCGAAAGTAGCTTCATACAGTATGTTGTTGTTGATGTGTGTGACGTCGTTGCCGTAAAGCATTTCGTGATTCTCGCGAGCTGTGTCAGGGGCGCCGCTCTCAAACTTGCAGCTGTTTTTTCCGGCGGCGTCCCCCCCAAGCTCTACTACTAAAAATCCGTTCAAAACTGTGATGACGTCACACAATAGCAGAATGCTAGCGTGTTCCGGCCAACAACGGCCTAGCCTGTAAGAAATCAAAAGGACATAAGTACTCGTTCATTCGACTTTTGGCCTATAATCTATATTGAACTTGCGGAATCAACAATAAAAATCTATGTTAATTTAACGACAAGCAGGTGAAAGAGACACATTTAGCCGTTTAGCCCCATAGACTCCCATTCATTCTGCGCTCACCCGCGATCACCTCCAGTGGAATTCTAATGGAACTGCAACCAAGATGATCCACAACGGGGCTAATAGGAAGTGCCAAGGCTCTCCGTTAGACGGGCTCTGGTTATTCTCAAGGGGGTAATCCATCGACCGGAAGTTGAAGCCTCACGGGAGCCGCCATCTTGTAGCAGAACTTCACTTGCGTTAGCATTCCCATTGACTCCCATTCATTTTGGCGTCACTTTGACCGTGAATAACTTTACATCTGAGGCGTTTGAAGGCTCCATTTGTCCTTTATTTATTTCTAAAGAAACACAACAATGTATAAAAGGCTCCATTACCTTGTAGCTTATGTTATGGCCCCGTAGAAGCAGTTTTAGTGAAACTAGGCTAACGATTGCGTCATACCCACGAGACTCTCTGTCGCACAGTAGAGAGATTACCGTATGGACAGGAGAAGAAGCTCACAGGCAATCGGGGAAACGTGGAGGCAAAATGACAAAATAATCAATCAGAATACCTAGCAGAAGTGTCTCCTGCTCCTATCTCATGGACAGCTCCTACTCACACTCTCCGCCTCTGTGAGTTTCGGAAGGGAATGATTCAGATTTCTCATGCCACAGCCACTAGAAGACAGACGGGTCGCTCACGTCACATCTACGTTGTCAAGCTCGGTTTGAGTCGGTTTGAGTCTGCGGGTCAGGGACGGAAGTGCTAAAAAATCGCCAAAAACAGGCTTCAATCGTCTCAATAGAGTCCAATGAGATTGCTCTGTCCATTTCTTTTACTGTCTATGGTTATTCTCTCGCTTTGCCTCAGCGCCAATCGGAGAATTAACACTGCGCGTCACTGATTGCTTGAATTGAGCAAATTTAGTGACGTTTTAATAGCATATCAGAGCTTCATTGGTTAGATAGCGAGGGCACTCTTTCTCAGCGCCCCGAGGATAAAACTACACGATTAAGCTGGCTTACAAAAATGACCACCCCCTCCCCTTCCTAATTTTTTTTTTTTTTTCACTTGGTGGGAGGGGCGGCCCATAATAGACCAGCCGCCTCTGATATAAATATACACTACCGGTCAAAAGTTTTAGATCAGTAAGATTTTTTATGTTTTTAAATGAAGTCTCTTCTGCTCACCAAGGCTGCTTTATTTGATGAAAAAAAAATGACAAATGGTGATATTGTGAAATATTATGACAATTTAAAATGACTGTTTTCTAATTTAATATATTTTAAAATGTAATTTGAAAGCTGAATTTTCAACATCATTACTGTTGCTGATTACACATCAGTTTTCAGTGTCACATGATCCTTCAGAAATCATTCTAATATCCTGATTTTATGCTCAAAAAACATGAATTATTATTTTCAATGTTGAAAACAGTCGTGTACCATTTCCCCCCAAAATTCTCTGATGAATAGAAAGTTCAAAAGGACAGCATTTATTTTAAAATATAATCTTTTCTAACATTATAAATGTCTTAAATAAAAAGTGCAGGCATTTCTCTTAAAAGAGAAATAAAATATACCAATGACCATGATCTCCTGTTATCATAATAGCTATGAAGTATTATAACTACGAACATTATATTTGCTGCTTATTATTTAGCCTACGGGCTACTCAAGGACAATGATTTTAAAAAGTGAGATTTCTTTCAAAAACATAAACCTTACAGACCCCAAACTTTTGAAAAGTAGTGCACTGTATGTTTGAGGGTTTGCTCATAGCCGTGGAGATTTCCTTGGACAAGGGGGTGCAGAAGGCAATCAGCATGATGATCTAGGAACAAATGCAGTTTTCCACAAAGCCAACAATGTTAAATAGGATTTACAATAGAATATAGGGTTTATTACAAGGAACCAAGCTAGAGCCCTGCTGGAAAAACCAGCATAGACCAGCATAAACCAGCGTGGGAACTATGCTGGGCTGCCGGCTGCGGCATCGTAAGCCTAAGTTGATCGTAGAGATCATTGGTGGCAATTGTTCCACGATCAACTTAAGCTTACGATGCTTTTGGGAAACCCAGCCCTGGTCTATGCTGGTTTTTCCAGCAGGGTCATTTTAAATTTGTCCTTAATTTGCTACTTTTTCTTGCCAAATTTTATATTCACAAGTGTAAATTTTCAAAGAAAACTCCATCTTTTTTATTTTTAAGAAAGATATTGATATGTATTTAAATTCATTGAAGAACTCTAAAAACTCTACTGCATGTAAGACTGCAATTTTGTCGATTATTTAAGCTTGTTTAATGTTATTTAAGTTTATGGATTGTAACCCTCTGTATTGTTGTATTGTGTATTACTGTTTTGATTTGTATTTGTTATTTCTGCATAATAAAACAATAAAATAAAGACTAAAAAACAGTCTATGGTAGAAACGCAGCTGCACCGGCCCTCCTACAAAAGCGTCCCGCTAGTACACACATCACACAGTTATATGACATGTTTGTCAAGATAAAGACATCCTGGTGCTGGAGTATCCACATCACTGCATGACCTTGTTTGCGTACGTCCAACAAAACCGAAGGTCCATGTTGGAATATGTAGTGAAGCTCATCGTTCGGCAGCTCGTTGTAGTGCTGCAGCGCTGCATAGATCGTGGTGTTTTTTACGACACACACATGAAGAACATCCTCATCTACCCAAACACCCTATAAATCAAGCTGATGGACTTCTGATGGCGCACTGGTCCTCGGAGAAAGACGTGAGTCGGCTTCTCCAATACCGTTCACTGTCGATGTGTTTAATGATGTTTTACTGGAAATGGAACAAAAACATAACTCTGGAAATGTATTCTTAACAGGAGCTGAGGAACCCATATTAAACTGAGCTGTCAGAAAGTACGCTGACTGGGCTGTAGCTGACCACATACACAAACTGCTGGATACTGAAGCGGTGGTCAAAATCCCTTGCCTCTTCAGCATATATATATATATATCTCATATATATCCTTTTGAATGCTTATGTATTTCTTTTATGAAATAAATAATTAAGTATATGAAGAGTTCAGATGCAAAAGCCTCTAAGTGCCATTTGAAAATTTCTTCTAAAATGGTAATTTTTATCAAGCTTGTATATTTAAGTTTAGTAATTTCACTTAAATGGCAATGCAGATTACCTATTAATTGTCATTTAAGTGAAATTAACTGAAATATACAACTTAAATATACAAGCTTGATAAAAATGCTCATTTAGAAGAAAATTTCAAATGGCATTTAGAGGCTTTTGCATCTGAACTCTTCATATTCATTATTACTTAATTATTTATTGACATGTATATTTATTCGTTGTGCTTTTGCTTGTGAAATCATATTCTTAAATGCATGCTGATGTAAGTAACCAGCTTCTTTTAGGTTGTTCTGGACATAATGGCGCCAGCAACCCAAATCTGTGAGCTGGAAGGTCATGACGTGAGTGTCAGATGCATCATCGATGGAGATATGCTTCCATCTGTCTGTTTATGTGTGGAAAATTACTGTGTTTATCTATTTCTTAGCCAATGACAATCATTCAACATGTTAGCAATGACGTAGCTTAGACCTTGGGAACAGTATAACTGCTGTGATCTTTGTTACTGTAAGGGGGCGGCCTACGAACTCCTGTGTGAGTCTTGAAGCTGACTTCTGCTGAGGAAACTGCAAACTATATTCAGTAAACTTGTCTTTATTTTTTTATAATTCTGACTCCGGGTTTTCATTCTTCATGTCTGGTTCTGGTTCCTTTGACTGTTAACCCCTAACAATACGATGCTCCCAAAAACTGAACCATCAATTTTTGGCCGTTGGTTTGGGTCACATCTGTCCAAAGGTGAGACCAACAACAAGAACCAAATGGAAATAACATTGCTCGAAAAACATATAGAGCTCAGTAAAATTATTAGTGTCAATGATGAGCAAAGTGTAAAACACAGCGGATTGAGTGTGCAGTGTGAGAGGGGGAGTGGAAAGAGTTAAGATAAGAGTCAACTTTTATGTTTATTTATTTATTTCCATAAGTTTGAGAATCAAACCCCATTATAGGAAACCTTTGCTTCATCATAACGGAAACTTAGTGTAGTTAAGTTTCTTGTGTAGTTTTTAGCGGCATCTAGTGGTTATATACAGAACTGTCAACACTGTAAATGAACGCGCTGTTTTGAGTTTATGTGATCAGATTAGAAATAGATTCACTGTGACTGTGTTTCCATCATAATTCGGCGACACATTAAGGTCGAGCGATGTTTCGGTTTGTTCAATGATGACAGCTGGAACTTCCTGAGTCGCGCCCGCGGAACTGCGTCCGTCAGTGAGCGAGCAGCGCGCGACAGTCTCCTGCTGAAAGTGTGTTAAAGCGGCACATGCACTGATGACACTTGATGTCTTACAGTAGAGAGTGTGTCCGAGTTCAGTCCACTACTGTCTGCTACAGCGAGACCAGCTCAAACAGCGTCCGACACACAATCCACAGCGCGACACACACACACACACAGCCGATCGGCAGAGAGTGCGCAGGAGACGAGCACGCGCCTGACCGATGCCCAGCCGCGCACGCACACAAGTCACATGACATCTGCTATAAAAGTGTTAGGTAAAACTGATAAATATCAGACTATTTTAGTCGAGATAAAAACCGAGATAATCCAATTTCAGACTATTTTTCTTTGTTTTGAACAGCCAATTTTCAAGATTCGATCCAATCTGACATTTGAACATCTCTGGAATCAGATTACATGATCCGGATTAGATGAAACAGTTACTTCTTTATTATGCTACAGGCCCAGGTCTGCCAAAGCTTAATAAATAGTGATTGCTTTTATAGCTAAATAAGACATGAAGTCTGCAAACTCATTGCTTATCTGAATCATATTAACTTTATATTCACCAAATCTGCTCACAAAATAAAGCAGTTCAACTTTGGTAACAGAGACACGACATTGTGTAGTAAATGTTTAACTTTGAAAATAAAAAGCCTAGAACTAGAAAAATGATGTAAAATGGGGCACCAGTATTAAAGTCAGTTCTGAAGAATAAACCAAAGTTCTCCATGTTTGACTCTGGATGAAGGATCGGATCACTCTGGAGAGTTACACAAACACACGTGTGTGTGTGTGTGTGTGTGTGTGTGTGTGTGTGTGTGTGTGTGTGTGTGTGTGTGTGTGTGTGTGTGTGTGTGTGTGTGTGATGATCACTATGGGAGTGTATCTGTTGAGTGTGATGTGTGTGTAGCGGCTCTTTATTCTCCATCAGCTGATCCAGAGAAGCTCAGAATCATTCATCAATCAAACCTGTCAGTAAAACACAGACAGTCAAATTATCCACTGCAGAACAACTAAAACACACTTTTCACATTATTAGTCAGAGATAATAAAATAACCCTGTGATATATAATTTCAAATCTCTTTTGAACCATTCAGATTTTGATTTTGCATCCAAACCACCATGAATGATGACCCTTGACCCTTACTCATAATCCTGTATGACCATCCTCTTTCTGTCATTGGATCAGTTTTATTTATGATAACAAAAGCTGTAATAAATATTTGCCTTTATCTTCTATTGCAAATGACATTCAAAATAATGCAATTTTCCTCATTCTGATTATTCACTATAAGAAGTGTGTTTATTTTTTCCAGCATTATTCTCTCACACCCCAATGCACAGCACAAGTGATGAACTCAGACAGAGTAGGAGTGTTACCGGCCGCTGTTTTAATCTACTTAAGTCAAACACTAAACACATTTCTATGGCCGTATTGGATGGTTGTTCTGCGCTGAGATGAACATCAGACTGTGATAGCAATGCCGCTTCAGACGAGGCACTTTGGTCAGAGCGGAGCAGTTTAAAGGGATAAATCATCCAACAATGAAAATGAAGTATTAAAGAAATGTTATATGTACGAGCGCGAGCGGGACATTTCTTTACATTTCTGCTTTTGTGTTCTGGAAAAGGAAGAAGGGTAAATGGCATTAGAATGACACAAGGGTCAATAAATGATGACTTCATTTTCATTTTTGGGTGAACTATTCTTTAAGGTGTTTACATGCCTGTTAGTTGTAATTAAAATCGACACGGCACATATTTTACTAAGATTATAGTTACTTCAATTATGAGCTTAATTGAATCAATTTGATTGAAGTGTTGTGTTTAAACGACTAAATCTAATTACAATCGCATTATGAGAGTTCATGTAAATGTAGTCAATAGCTACGTTTACATGGACACTTTTTGCTTAAATCTCAATTAATTCATTCTGATTGATGAATCCGAACGCAGTGTTTACATGAACGCTATAAAAGTGATCGGGTTGATGTGTGTTTATATGTCACAAGCTTCTGATCTTAATCTTTGGACATGCACACACTGCATGAATATACAGAGTTTCCTGCTGTTGCACACTAACCACCATTACCTTTTCTTTGTTTTAAAAAGCAGACTTACAGGTAGTGTAGGTCAGAATTTAAAAAAAAACTTTTTTTTCCAAATTTCTTTAAACTTTCTGTATATATCCATGCATAATTAAAATCTATGTACTCTGAAAAAGAAAGTATAAAAATCGAGTGTCTGTAGACCTCTCACGACTGTTTTAAAGACAGCTCATTATTTCCATTCACTCCCTCCCTTCTGGGCTCCTTCCAAAGCCATGCCCCCAAAACACAGCTGAGCTGAAAACACATTATTTACCTCAGATGAGCGGAGAGGAGAGGAACGAGTGCATGTAGTGACATCATGTCAGAAACACATGTAAATAAAAAAATCTAAAGATAAACAAATAAGTTGTATTTTATTACTCACTATCAAGCTAGCATATTGATATTGGTAAAGTTTACAATATATATTTACTGATTCGCTAACGAGCTAGTTATCTATAAGGCAAAGCTAAAAACAGGTTGCATGATACACGTTTTTCCATTGCCATCATTTACCCTGTGATGAAGATGAATTTCGTGTAAGATTCATAACATATATATATGGTGTTCTGCATGTAAGAGTTTGCTTGATGAAAGCATTGTTGATTCTGATGAGGACTACACTCCCGAGACAAGTAAGTTACCCATAGACAGTATAAGAAAGCAAGTACCGCATCGTCAGCTCGAGGACAGATCCGTGGTCGAGGGCGAAGCAGAGGAGGTCGTGCAAGAGGCCGTGCTATAAGGGTCCGAGGAAGTAGAGGCCGAGGACGGGGTGGTCGAAGTGCAGGGCAAGGAGCACTTTTTAGACAAGAGGACCTGCGTTGAGTTTTGCATCTTCAAGCTCAAACAAGGGCATGCGAACAGGTACGATCTGGATACGTGCAAGTGGGCAGGTCCTGTGTGGCAAAAGGGTGGTTGCCATGGTTGCGAGAGAGTGAATGTCGCCTAGGGCAATCCGTTGTTTCGTCCCGGTCTGAGATAATGAGCTGTGTTTATTGCAGATTAAACGGTCTAGAGTCACTCGATTTTTATACTCTTTTTTTCAGAGTACTCAGATTTTAATTATTATTGATATATATAGAAAGTTTAAACAAATTTGGAAAAAGTTTTTATAAAATTCTGACCTCCACTACCTTTAATATTTCTCTATTGCGGGTCCTAATAATGCGACGACGAGCACATGAACCGTTGAGCCGTGCTGCTTGTGTTAATCCAAAACTAGCCCTAGCCCAAAACTGTGTGTTCTGTCATGTTACGTGTTACTTTTTTATTCGAATTGTGCTACTGGTCCGATTACAATCGCAGTATTAGGGTCCATGTAAATGCAGCTAATGATAGAAGTGATATCTTGTATTGTTTTGACATAAAAAGAAACATTAAGATACTTTATTCTTACTATAAATGGAATCAAACTCTTATTAAACATGTTTACAGTCAGTAAATATTACCAAGAAAGTAACGTCAGAAGAAGAAATTATATTCACTTACAATTAAAAGTCAAATATTTTCAGTCATCACTACTCACAGAAGCGTCTCCAGTTTATAATGTGGATCCTTCTTCAGATCAGAGAGCAGGTTCACTCCTGAGTCTCCTAGATTATTTCTAGACAGACTCAGTGTTCTCAGGTGTGAGGGGTTTGATCTCAGAGCTGAAGCCAGATCAGCACAACCTTCATCTGTAACACCACACTTCATCAACCTGTAGAGAACAATGACACTCTTCAGTCTCTCAGTTCAGGATCAGATAATCAGGAACTCCACAATCAGAAACAGAGACTTAATCCATGACATGATTGACAGGTCCAGTCTAAGGTTCAGACCTGCTTCTACATGCTGCTTCAGGAGGTTCATTTCAATATCATAAATCATGTCATACAAACCAGCGCGCGCTTCAGCTACCGTTACAAGCGCTGAATCATCGGAAGTAAACGTAACATAAAGCCTAATATAGTCAACTATACTAAATAATAGCAACACTGATTTGGGGCCTTTTCTACATACTGTGATGCATGTATGAATTATCATGTTAGACTAAGTTAGTAATGTAATAGCCTCTATAGAGCCCAAATTTGCTTTTATACAACTACGTGGTCATGTGCAGCTCGTCAGATACTTTGCTTCTAGCCTAAGGCCGGACTCGGAGACACACTGATTGCGTGGCGTGAGCGTGGTGTTTCTGTAGCGTGTCAGCTGCGTGGCGGCTGTCTCGTTTTCTGTGTCTTTGCACACCAGAAGCGTGTCTGACACGGCGCTGCTGCTGCTAGGTGACATTGAGGGACAGTCTACATTTGGAATTGCGGTGTGTTGCTCTTGCCTTTTTGACAACAATTTCAACTGTTATCACACATCTTCCAAAATCCGAAAAATATGGAAGTTGGCTCAGGCTGTCTGTTTATTTCAATAACTTTTTTTAAATTTTGTGTAGCTTTAAAAAGCCTATATATTTAGCCTGATGGTGGACCGTTACTCAGAAGACACACATGTTGTTATTCTAGCTATCCTATCTTTATATTCTCCTGAGCCCCAGAACCTTTTTTTTTTTTCAAAAGTTTTTTTTTACACAAAGAAAAAAAAAAAGAAACAAATGAAAAAAATAAAAGAAAATATATGTTTATGTTATGCTATGACCTCTGTAGTGGACAACAGGACTCGATTGTTTAAAAAATAAAAATGACATGAAATTATATAGGCTTATATATAGGCAAAAATAATGGCAATATTTGAAAACTGATCATTATTATTATAATTATTATTTGTTTCAATTACATTGATATCTGAATGTATGTCAAAACCTAGACTCTCAAACATCAAAATGTAATTTATTCATATGTATTCGTGTACAAAATGACTTATAAACATTGTTTCCTATTGTTTTTTTTTTACCTGGAAATGCTTCCAAGACGCTTGCGTGTCGCGTCAAAAATAGGCGTCGGTTCTATTTCTAGCATGCAAGCGTTTTCCGCATGTCACACAGGCAGTGTGCAAGCTCTAATCTGTTAACATGGGAGCCGAAATAAAAACGGACACGCCACGATTACAAGACGCTTACGCCACACAGCCAGTGTGTCTCCGGCCTAAACCCTTTACTCCGGTACGAAGACCGCAGGTCTTTTGCCTCCTGGTTGCGTGCGCAAGCAGTGATGATGTGTCGGCCTTTCGATGCTGGCTTTCGAATCCAGGCTGTTTCCTGGATTCAGGAAACGGTGATTATTTTGCACGCACTCCACTCCAAACGCAGTCTTCATTTCAAAAGTTTTATTTCTAACACATTTCTAAATTAAGTTTAAAATTTCAACAAACGAAAAATCCAAACCAAGTTAACGAAGTGGTCAAAAAACTGTGAAAAAACACCATCTCCAAAACCAAACATCTGTTCTTTCATGTCACTTCCCCCTCCGCCCACACACGATGACATCTTCCTAACCCGACAGGTGCCTGATAATTAACTAAATAAATACATAAATACAAATATAAATACGAATATACTAAATAATAATAATAATAATAATAAACAAATACCTAAATTATAATAAATAAACTCTAATGCAATACTTATAGGAAAAAGGCTACAACAGATGACATCGCTGCACACTCCGATCCAGAAGGGGACGCACGGCAATGCAACACTGTTTGCTAACAGTAAAAATCACAGAAGAAGAAGAGATGATCGCTCGATATGTTCACATCTCTAATCCAGTGTTTCAACTGTGGAAAGATATCAATAAAACATCTTGAGAATAATATCTCACGTAGCATTACATTAACCTCAGGCATTTAGCGTCGAAAGCAGGTTAGTTCGCTAGAAAAATTAACTCTAGAGAGAAGCATTTCGTATATGCACTATATTAGCCATTTCATTATATTTACTTAACCTGTTAGAGGTGTTTTGATTATTTAATGTTTGTTTAAATAAATTTGTCATGAAAACAAGTTATGTTTAAGCCACTGTGTAAATGATTGTATTTCAAAAAGGAATTAACGTAGTAAATTAACTTTATAATTATATTTAGAAGTTAATGCAGAACCTTCCTTATTTCCAGTTTACATGGTTTTTATTATTTGAGCGTTTATTATTATATTTAAAAATAAATAACAACTGAATTTAATAATTTGAGCTGTGTTAGTTGTAAAATGTAATATTATAGTAAGCCTAATGTGTAATGAAGGGCTCCTTATAGCAGTGGGACTAAATATCGATCTGGTGATATATTGTTGTCCTTCGTGCGATACGATAATCGATACACTGGCGCCAAATATTGATATTTAAATGAATAAAATAAGGCTCTAAATAGATTTCCCTGCTCCCAGTGTTGGCTGTGCCATTTCAAACTTGCATAATTCCTCTGGAGCCACGCGTAACCATATTCAGCACATGCACGAATGTGTGATAGCCGAAGCAAGCAAATGCCCATCGCGTATTCACTTCAACACAGAGAAAATAACAGTTTCAGAATCAGCTTTATTCGCCAAATGTGATGAGTTTAGCAGCAGTTATTGTGGGATTTGACTGTTTGATTCATAGATTAAGTGCTCAGATGGATCATCATTATGCAAATCTTTGGAGAGTTTTTACTTTTAGACTTGTCAGTTACAAAACTTGCAAATAGACATCTTTGACGCTCTTCACCGAGAGCTTACACAGATACACACGGCAGCGTTTAAAAGCATGCTTCTATCAGTGGGTTCGTCTATATAATTTACTTAAAATATTTAATTTACAGACTGAAAACTATTTTGTGCAGTTTTCTAACAGTTTGGACTTTAACAAAGAGAGAAAACCTGCACTTAACCTTCTCACAGCCATGTGTCGTGTATCGTACCGTATCGTGAGGAACACTGTGATTCCCACCCATAGCTCCTTACATAGTTTACAGCATAAGCTAAGAAAGATTGTTTTATTATAATAGAATTTATTTAAACAAATTTACACATTTGTTTAAAAGAAAAACTGTTGAATAAAAAAATGTTTAGTTTACTACCCCCTGCTGTACCGAACCGTCATGTTTGTGTACCGTTACACCCCTAATGTTGACACATTTATACAATCTTACCCCAGTATCTCCAGTTTACAGTGAGGATCCTTGAGTCCATCAGAGAGCAACTTTACTCCTCTGTTTCCTAGTTTATTCCATGACAGATTCAGTTCTCTCAGGTGTGAGGGGTTTGATCTCAGAGCTGAAGCCAGATCAACACAACCTTCATCTGTGACTCCACAATAACTCAACCTGTAGAGAACAATGACACTCTTCAGTCTCTCAGTTCAGGATCAGATAATCAGGAACTCCACAATCAGAAACAGAGACTTAATCCATGACATGATTGACAGGTCCAGTCTAAGGTTCAGACCTGCTTCTACATGCTGGTTCAGGAGGTTCATTTCAATATCATAAATCATATCATAATCATTTAACTCATGTTTTTATCATAATGATAAATAAATACAATTGTCACTTTTAAAAGAAATTAATGAAGTTTTTTACACCACACGTATGTGTGTGATGAGTGTGTGTGTGTGTGTGTGTGTATGTGCTTCAGTAAACTGAGCTGGAACTACCTGAACTACCTGGAGCGAGTGGAATGGATTTGAGTGAGAATCGGCGTGGAAGTCAAGGCTGTAGCTAAAACACAAAATGGAGTTTAATTTAAACTGCAAATCTGTGTCCAGGGTTAAGGCCCCGTTTACACGATGGGAAAATGCGGATATTTCTCTGTTTTGCCCTCTCATTTACACGAAAACGCAGTTTTTATCAATGAAAACGGTTATTTCTAAAAACTCCGGCCAAAGTGGAGATTTCTGAAAACGCCGTTTATGTGTTGCCGTGTGAACTGGGAGAAATGGCGCTTTAGGTTCTCTCTTGTCGTTTCTGAGGATTCTGATTGGCTTGCATGGCTTTATCCTTATCCCCTACACTGCCGCCAATAGGTTTGGCATAGTAATGATGGCGCTCCACGGCATATTTATGTGGGTGTGTGAACGATGTTATTTTTGAAAATGGAGAGGGGGAAAATATTCGTTTTGCTAAATACCTGGCTTTGTATAAACGTGGCCTAAGTATAAGTAAACACTAGAATCTGGGTTAGATGGAGCATGACACATTAGGAAAGATTCTAGATTTTCTCTTTATACAGTTACATATTTATGCCGTTATATAGGGGCAACAGATAAAATACCATATGAAATATTAGCAGGCATGATACAGAATATTTCATAGTATTAGGACAAAGAACTATAATGAATTGCCATTTAAACCTTATTACAGTAATTTAACTGTAATTAAAAAGACCTTAAACTGCAATAACACCAGTGTTAGGCACAATTGAGATGGAAAAGACAGAATGCGCAGGAAATCTTCAGACACACACTAGATACTTTCATTGGGTCAATTGTGTGGCGCTTTCACTTCGATCTTCTAGTGGTCACGTGTCTTCACATGATGCGAATTTGCAGGTCAGAGTTCACCAAACTTGAAGCGTTATTCATTTAGTGAAAAGCTGTGTAATAAGTGTCACGACTGTATATTCAACAGTCACGTCTTGGTTCAAATGCGGAAGCATTGAGTTTCCTGATAATATAATACTTAAACTCAAATCAATATTTTGTGTCCAATTATTCAGTTATGTGGCACGTAGATGTATAATAAGCAGGATAACAAATATTCAAATGGTTCTAATCACAGAATAAACCTGACAGGGTGATCAGGACTGAAACAGAAAAGTCTTGTATCGCCCTGAATGTACAGCTGGCCACGGTTTATCCATTACATATAAGTATTGGTAATAAAATGTCCTAAAACTTTGGAAACAAGATAGATTAAACAACAAAATGATCTATCAGTCATGTTTTTGCCTCCTTTTTGTTTATTTTGTTCATTATTGACCTTGTGAAGAAAATGGAGGATGTTGACACATTTATTCAATCTTACCACAGTCTCTCCAGTATACAGTGAGGATCCTTCAGTCCATCAGAGAGCAGCTTCACTCCTGAGTCTCCTAGTTTATTATCAGACAGATCCAGTTCTCTCAGGTGTGAGGGGTTTGATCTCAGAGCTGAAGCCAGAGCAACACAACCTTCACCTGTAACACCACACTCCCGCAACCTGTAGAGATGAAAGATACATGGTGAACTGCTACCAGCTGCAAACCTAGAATAAAAAGTGTAAACTACAAATGTGATTTACAGAGACAGTAAAACATTCACATAAACATCATTAGAGGACAAACAGCATCAATATATGGGCCATTCCACTGAATGTGTGACATTTGCTTGTAACTCTTCAAAAATAAACTTTATTTTTTTTTATCTTTTTCAACATGCATTTTCACATTCGAAATGTGTATTGGTCAATCTCAGGCAACTTTATTTATTTTTTACAAAGTTTAAGCAGAATATGGATGCATGTTTTCTCAATCCTGTTGCCGATGTCAATTAATTTCTTTGTTTCCCCCACAAGAAAGTGTTCATTTTAAAGAAATTGTTGGTTATATGTTCAAAAAATTGATATTTGTGCCAATAAAACCACTATTAAAGCAAGGTGTATTTTAATAAAAAATAAGGCATGTTTTCATTTTAAAGATGATTGAAGCCTCAAGCTTATCATTTTTTTGTCATTTTTTAATTTTAAAAACTGATACAAATAGTGGTTTAATTTAATTTTTTAGAAAAAGAAAAAATAGTAACAGGACTGAAAGTAACAGGATTGAGTTTTTAAGCAAAAAGTTATCAAATATATGGCATATGGCCACATAGCATTAATAGCGCAAGGACACTGAGCCATTTCTAGTGCTTTACCAAAAGTTAATATTTTTACTAAAACAATTAAATCTAAGAAAAAGTTTAGGTAACAGGACTGTATTGTGGTATTAGAAATTTATTATATGTTTTATTTAGGTTTCCACTCCAATGGTATAAAAAAACTGATAAAGTTTAGTATGATTATTGATTCTCCAGCAAGAGTCTCCTTTCCTGATAGTCCTGTTTTCTCACCTTTCAGCCTGGAGACTGAATCGTTTAGGTTGATTGGATTAGCTGTAGGGGGCACTTCCACCTTTTGTCTTCAATGGCTCTGGGATGGCTCTTTGGAACGAGACGATGTTGAAATGACTGCAGCTACGAGCAATAAAGAACTTCTACTTGGAAAACTTCCATTCTCAATTATTAAACAACAGTTGATCTGTGATAACAAGTGTAGTCTCTGTTGATCAGAGAAAGTTTAGTTGTTTATTTTTTTGTGTGGTAACAAAGAAATGCTAGGTTGGTTCCTACAACTGAGAAAAGTGGCCTTGCCACTCCATTGTGGTCAGATAGCGAATTTAAGTCATTGTTAGGAGAGCACATGGACTCCATAGTGACTCAGTCAGTCAGATTGAATTTGACAAAGAAATTTGGCATTCACCCAGAAAAAGTATGGTCTTTTGAAGATTGTAAAAAAAGTGCTTGGAGCAAGTACAAGAACAATGTGAAAGCCATTATCTGTTGTCACAAAGAATTCAGCCTATCCATTGCACAAGAACAAGCTAGGTGTATTGCTAAGTTAAATGAACAGAACAAACAATTGCAGTCTCAATTGTCCTGTTTCAAGACAAAGCTGGGCCATAACCAGGCCTCAACCAAATGTAACTCTGAAGACCAACAGTCAGATGAAACTTATCCTGACTTACATCCGATCAGTAACTGATAGCCATGTAAAATCAGTGAAGGTATGTGGTGCTAGAAAAAGAACGAAATCGAGGAAAATGTTCCTCACAGCGCTTCTGTTCAAATTCAAATGGTTGCTAAGGCATTAGGACCTAAAGACATTGAGCGACTGTCCCAGGGCTTACCCCAGCACACACACAGTTCACTGAATTTAGAAGAGCTTTGATCAGCAAAATGCATCTCTATGACATGTCGTTGGCAGAAGTAACACAGTTAATGTCTCAAATTCTAACTGAATCTGAATTCAACAGTTTTCAGTCTGCTATTTCTTTTGAACTCCAACATGCCAGAAAAGATGAATTGAGAGAGGGAGTTCTGAGAGTGTTAAAGAAAATTGTTGGACCAAAAGTGGACTGGTCAAAGATCTCTAGGTGTATGCAAAAGAAGGATGAAAGTGTGACTGAGTACACAGAAAGATTATGTCAGACAGCAGCTGCACACAGTGGGATAGCGGACACTTCAGAGAAAGTGTTAAATGACAATAGTCCATTAGTTTGCACATGTTTTGATAATCTTTTGTCAGAACAAAGGAATGCATTGCCTTTCTTACAAATGACATGGTATACTAGAACCTTGAGAAGTAACTTGGACAGTTTAACTGCTTGAGAAAGAGACTCTGATGTTAAGGCAAGAGTAAACATTGCAGCAGCATCTTTTAAGGTCAAGACAGAGAACCCACAGAAACGTAAATGTCCAAAAAGAGAGGACAGTTGTTATTACTGTGGTCAGCCGGGACACTGGAGTAGAGAGTGTAGAAAAAGCAGAAAGAACTTTAGAGAAGTCAACCTTTTTGCCCAACTTCTCAGTTTGCTTTTCTACCCTGAAGCCGCCATTCCCCACGTCATTAAACGGATGGGGCAGCTTGTTGAGGGTTTAACCATTTGGGCTGTGAGTGCTTAATTTCCCCAGTAACTTATAACAGAGATAAAAGACGTATGTTTGACTGTCTCAGCTTTCCTTTGGGCGACTGGTTAAGTAAACTCACAGCCTTAAATGTTATTCTACAGCACAAGCCTTTCATCAATAATAGTGTTAGGTCAGACTGTAAACGTAAAATTCCCTCATGTAGCAATAATGAATGAAGCAAAAGTCAATTTTGTCACCTTTTCCCATTGGGGAAATTGGTTTAACTACCCTCACAGTATCCTCACTCATTCTCATGTATGATGTCTGCAATGACTGATGTTTTGTTAGAGGATGAAGGAGAAATAACTCATGATTGGGTTACGCAGTTTAAAGTACACAAGTCACAGGACAGGTCAAGCCATTAGACACTAAGTGGCATGTACCCCATCAAGGGATGTTGATTGGCAGTTTTGTGTCAAGGAAGGAAAAACTTGGTCTCATATGTCACATTACAAAGTTTTGCCACCCACAGACCCATGATAGGACCAAGAGGCAAACCTCCCCGTCTCTCTCTTAAAGCCAACACTGAAGTTAATTAAACTGCAATTCATCGAGGGGCCGCATGAGGCTGGCTGCAGAAGCGAGTCAAATCTGAATCTCCCCCTAGTTAGAATGTCTAATTTCACAGCAGAAAAAAACAATGTTTACAGCCTGGTGGCAAATAGTTGTTTTGGTCTATATCGCTAATTTTGCCCTTCATGACGACTGTGAGGGGGGTGGATTTTTTTACAACTCATCTGTTTAAATTTTATTTAGGCCTTAAAATTCTACATAATTAAGGGCGTGGCCACTTGAATAAAAAAGAATAAAATACACAACGCAGAGAAAAGACTTACGGAACCTTCAGTCATTCATCAACATTATCAAGAGTGTAGTAACCACCAGGACATCGCACAAAGTGAAGACTCCAGAATCCTTGTTTGGCTGGAAACGTTGCAGGCCACAGCCGAAGATGGCTGCATTGACTCACTTGTGCACAAACATGATGGTTAAACAAGACAGTCTTGATCTTTCAGCAAAAATTTCACCAGATGACTGAAGTTAATTAATCCGTAAGAACTTCACGGACCCTAATTGCATGTTTGTTTTCCAGAAAACCCGGGAACATGACTTAAAATGTGTATTTTATCTAAAATATTAGATTTTTTAAAATAAAAAAAAACTAATTTTTAAAAACTTTTTAATTTTTTTTTAAATATTTGTTTTTTTTTCATTTTAAAACAGTTTGGATATAAAGTCACACTACAATGCAAGAAAATTTTAATCATAATCAAGAATCAAGAATTTTAATCATAATATTTCATGGTAACATTTAGAGGCAGAGAGTTGGGACATGCAGAAAATGCTATTTTTTAGTGTTCTGTGTCGTTTTTATTAATGTTTTTAAATATATGTTTTAAATTTGTAGTTAGCTTAATGTGCATGACATTTTGCTTAATAATAAAATATATTTTAGCGTTAATTTTCATGCAATTTTATACATATAATGTCCTGGGGACAGAAATGTCACTAGGGTTGCCACCTATGTCTGATAAAAAACTGGGACATATCAATTTTTTTTTTTTTTTTTTTGGGGGGGGGGGGGGGGATTTTTTGGTTGAAACTTTGAACAAGGGGGAATTTTCAAGCCCCACTGCCCCCCTCGCCCCAACACAATGCTAAAGCTTAAAATGTTAAAATTTATTGTATTTAGTAGTATCTAAATACAAACTAAACAAACAAAAACAAAAATAGAGAAAATAAAAGTGCTGGGTCGCGCGCTCATTTTATGTTATGTATGTTTTTCATGTATTATGCATGTGTGAGGTACTGTACGTACAGATGGTGGTAACAAATTTCCTGAAATGGACAATAAAGGAATCAATTCAATTTTACCTCGAACCCCCATTCTCCCCCACTCCTTCTCCCTCATGCTGACATCATCTGAAATTCATCCAAAATATACACTCACCTAAAGGATTATTAGGAACACACACTAATACTGTGTTTGACTCCCTTTCACCTTCAGAACTGCCTTAATTCTACGTGGCATTGATTCAACAAGGTGCTGAAAGCATTCTTTAGAAATGTTGGCCCATATTGATAGGATAGCATCTTGCAGTTCCACCACTCCCGTTCCACCACACCCTTAACATGCTCAAAAACTCTTTTTGCACAAAAAAAAAAAATTTGCACACGGGTCAGAACCCGCAGCCATCAGAGCCGGGCTGAAGCTGGTACCCGGGCGTGGCAGGGCGGCTAGACAGCTCCCCCTGAAACGGGGTCCAAACACTTGGTCCATTACTCAAACACGCTTGTATGTAATAATATGAAACTCGGTACACATGTCGATCTCATCGTTTCATCTATACCTCACACTCTTACTTTTTACCCCAGCCCAACAGGAAGTCGGCTATTGAGGTTTGTTTGTAAAACGCTCGCAATGGAATGTGAAATACTCCTCCTAGAGCTCTGATCCAAATTCGCCGAAACTCAGTCAGCGTGAAGACAAGACATTGAGGATGAAAGTTTGCGAGGGGATTTTTGATATTTCGAACGGTTTGGCCGTGGCGAGGAAATTAATTTATGGCGAGAAACGTGAAACAGGAAGTGTGTCATAACTTCAGCATACATTAACTGATCTTGATGAAACTTCAACAGTGTGTTCACTGTAAGAGGCCGATCACATGGATGTGACTATTGAGTCAAATTTATAGCGCCACCAACTGGCAGCAGGAAGAGTGTCACTTTCAAAATGCTTTGAAATCACCCTCTTATTTTTACCCAATTTGCTTCAAACTTCATCTGTATAATGCAAATACACAGCAGATGTAGACCTGTGAATGAATTCTTGATATCTTTGATAATGTTGCCGTGGCAATGCATCAAACTTTGAAATTATTTTAGGATGCTTTTGAGACTCTTAGCATGCTTGAAATTGCATAAAACTCAACAGACACATCACATTTATTAGCAAAAGTGCAAAGTTTCAGAAACAGGCCTGGTGCCTGTATGGCAAGCCGTTTTAACATTTAAAAGCTAAGTTTGCCTATCTGGAATTAACATTGTAGATATCAACAACGTCTTTCTGACTAGTCGTGATTACATTTTGGATAGTTTGTATTATCATTTAAGATATCTGTAACGTAATTGTGATTAGTCGAAATGACAGATAGAGTATGGCAAGCCGTTTTAACATTTAATCATTTAATCATGAAAGGGCCAGAGCCTGCGGCACCGTCACCCCGGTGCCTTTAGGTAACTAAAGGAACCGGGGTTGTGGCGCCACCGGCTTGGGCCCACCATCGCTGCTCGCAGCTATATTTCTTCTTCTTCTTCTTCTTCTTCTTCAGGGTTTAATTGCGGTTGGCAAACCTGTTTCCTGCGTTTACCTAACTAACTACCTAACTTAAATAACTAAATAAATAAATGTCCTAATAAAATAATTCTCTCGCTCTATCATTCGTACAATTACCAACACAGCTCACTGACTCACTTTCTCAGCGACCTGGGGAGACGTCTCCCTCTTATGACGTCAAGCGATTCGTTTGGGGGGAGAGGCAGTTTTAAGTGAGTACTGAAAATAACAAACTTTTTCATCTTATATTCTGCCTTTAGGTATCGAAAAACATACAAAACAATACATCAACTTGAAAAACGTGTTTTTCCCCTAACTATTTTGTGTTAATCATACTTACAAATTTAACCTGACATACACACTTTAAATTTGATTATTCTAACAGACTTAGACTACTTTAACTCTAATGAAAATAATGTCAAACATTTGCTCACATCTAATGATCCACGGATATTATTAGAACATTTTTCATTTATGGAGTCAGATGAAATAACGAGTTAATACATGACAAAATGTATTGAATTTTATAAAAAATACTTTGCTGCAAGAAAAGACAGTAAAGTGCAGAGACCTTCCGTGCTGTTCGGATGCCAGACTTTGGGCTGATCGACCGCGAGTTTACACACACACGCACACACACACACACACACACACACACACACACACCTCCTAGCTGCTTTGGTTAGAAAGGGTAATAAAATCATAAATGTGCCCATGTTTTATCAGTGTAATAATTGTTGTCAGTGTGACTTACCGAACTGATCTGGAGTCTTTAACCAGAGGCAGCATCTTCTGAAGAACTTCATCTGCTCTATTTTGTGATCCAATAAACTTTCTTAGATCAAAATCATCCATCTTCTGCTTTGATGTCAGCAACACATAAACCAGAGCTGACCACTGTGAAGACGAGAGTTTGGTTCCTCCTATTTGTCCAGTTATCAGATAACGTTGGATCTCCTGCATTAGTGAATCATCACCCAGTTCATTCAGACAGTGGAACAGATTGATGGATCTCTCTGGAGAACGAGTCTTCCTGATCTTCTGTTTGAGGTACTGAACTGTTTCTTCTTTGTTGTAGGAGGATCTGGATTTGTTGTTCCTCTTTGTCTGTGTCAGTAGTTCTCGTAAGAGAGTCTGATTGGACTCCATTGAGAGACCCAGAAGGAAACGCAGGAAAAGGTCCAGATGTCCATTCTTACTCTGTAAAGCCTCGTCCACAGCTCTCTGATGCAGACCTGATAAAGAATGAGATTTCTTCTGGTTTAAGACCTTAGACAACAGACTTTGTATGGTTTGTTCAAACACATTTCTGTTCTTGTTTGTACAGTAAATGTGTGCATATAGAGCTGCTAGATGTTCCTGGATGCTGAGATGAACAAAGCAGAAGACTTTCCCCTGTGACAAGCCCAACTCCTCTCTGAAGATCTGAGTGCACAATCCTGAGTAAACTGATGCTTCTGCCACATCAATGCCACACTCGCTCAGGTCTTCCTCATAGAAGATCAGGTGGCCTTTCACAAGCTGCCGGAAAGCCAGTTTCCCCAGTTTGACGATCATGTCTTCATCTTTCACTTTCTTCTCATAGTTCTTCTCATGTTTGATGTTGGTCTGAATGAGCAGGAAGTGTGTGTACATTTGAGTGAGAGTCTTGGGAATCTCTCGTCTCTCTGCTTCACTGCACATCTCCTCTAGAACAGTGGCTGAGATCCAGCAGAACACTGGGATGTGGCACATAATAAAGAGGCTCCTTGAGGACTTCAGGTGTGAGATGATTCTTTTAGCTAATCTCTTTTTACGAATCCTCTTCCTGAAGTATTCCTGCTTCTGTGCGTCACTGAAGCCTCGTACCTCTGTCACTCGATGGACACACTCAGAGGGGACGAGATCCGCTGCTGCTGGTCTGGAGGTGATCCAGATGAGAGACGAGGGAAGCAGATTCCCCACAATGAGGTTCGTCAGCAGCTCGTCCACTGAGGCTGATTCAGTCACATCACACAACCTCACATCGCTCTGAAAATCCAGAGACAGACGACACTCATCCAGACCATCAAAGATGAACAGCACTTTATACTCATCACTGGATATGGCCATTTCTCTGCTTTCAGGGAAGAAGAGATGAAGAAGATCTGAAAGACTGAGTGTTTTGTCCTTCATCAAGTTGAGCTCTCTGAAAGCCAGTGGAAATATGAGCTGGACGTCCTGATTCTCTTTCCCTTCAGCCCAGTCCAGGATGAGCTTCTGCACAGAGACTGTTTTTCCAATGCCAGCGACTCCCTTTGTCAGCACAGTTCTGATGGGTTTGTCTTGTCCAGGTAAAGGTCTAAAGATGTCACTGCATTTGATCGGTGTGTCCTCTGTTTCTGCTCTCCTGGACTGTGTCTCAATCTGTCTCACCTCATGCTCATTATTGATCTCTCCACTTCCACTCTCTGTGATGTAGAGCTCTGTGTAGATCTCATTCAGGAGTGTTGGCTTTCCCTGCTTTGATATTCCCTCACACACACACTCAAGATTCTGCCGCAGATTTGATTTGAATCTGCTTTGGACCAGTTGAGAGTCACGACTGAAAGATTAAAATAATAGATTACAACATGAATTATAGATGTGAAAATAATAAATAAACACTGTATTCTTTTAAAAGTCATTTATTCATGTGGTTAGTGTGACTGCAGTGAGTTGGTATAAGTGGTCCAAAGCATGGATGTAAACAAATACTCAGGGTTTGAGGGATGAAATAAAATGGCATTTATAACAGTCTGTGACACTAAAAAAAGAGGAAGAAACGACACAAAAATAAAACTAGCAACGTTTTAATAAAAAAACAAGTTTTTGATCTATATATTGCCTTGTTATTTTTAAACAATTTTTTTTGATGATGATTATTATCTGTCTCTCTAAACCAAAATATTGTACCTCAGATCAGTTGATGTGTGTTTTCCCTTTAATGTCACTAATGTGTTCATAGACCGATCACTCTTCATGGACACACTGCTGGACTCCAGTGAGATTGATCTCTTCACATGGAACTGACTTTAATAGAAGAGAGACAATAGAATTGAGATATTAGAATATGGACATGAAGCCAAAATAGACACATCTATGCAACCATGTGACTTCATAAATGAAGATGGCTCTTGCTCTTAGCATTGTAAGCTTGGCATTAAGAAAGGACACATGTGACCGAACGTTTGCCACTTTTATCAGTAAAAGGATTTTATTTTATTTTGCTTTTTGACATCTTTTGTCTTTGCTGGAATGTGCGGACTCTCTTGAAGTGTCTCTTAATGACAGATAAACGTCAGAGAATCTGGTCTTCCCATGAGAAGCTTCAGGAATGTTAATATTACACAAGGATATTAATCTATCTGTCCATCTAGACAAAATGTTGTACCTCAGATCAGTTGGTGTGTGTTTTCCCTTTAATTTTAGTGGTGGTTCCATAGACTGGTCACTCTTCATGGACACACAGCTGGGCTCTGATGGGTTTGATCTCTGACTGTGTAATTGACTTTAAAAGAAATAGTTACAAGAACAATTCATGTAGTTAACTTGACATTTTTACATTGCATAATGATAGTGATGTCCATGTTGTACCTCAGATCAGTTGGTGTGTGTTCTCCCTTTAATTTTAGTGGTGGCTCCATAGACTGGTCACTCTTCATGGACACACAGCTGGGCTCTGATGGGTTTAATTTCTCATGGTATCGACTTTAATAGAATAAAGAAAATAATTAATTTAACTGATATTACTTGTGTCGCGATTTTAAAAGCCCAAAAGATGAAGATGAGTCAAAAGATTCCAAAACAAATGAATTTAATAAGAACTCGGATAACGTTAAACTCATAATAATCCAAGTCCACGGGACAGTGTGTCTCAGCACAAGCGTTAACACAATAACCGACCGAGAACTGAGAACTCAGAGGAACTTACATCCACACAGATAATGAGCTAAAGACTAACAGGTGTATGTCACGGTGTGTTGTGGAGTGCAGGCAGAAGAAGACAGAAGAGGCAAATGCTCCAATTCAAACACTTTACTAAATCACTCAAAACAGGTACAGGCAGACGGGCAGGAACACTCACAAAACTCAGGGTAACATTAACACAACGACCGACAAAGACTGAATCAAACTGAGGGAACTAAATACAAGGAGGAATCAAACATAATGATGTGAAAACAGGTGATACAGATGATGAGGACGACACACAGGTGGTTGATGAGGGAGTGAGTTCAGGTGTGGCGACAAGAGGATCCTGGGAAGTGTAGTGAAGAAGACGCAGACAGAAAGGTGCAGACGGAGACTGTGACAGTGTAATGATCAAATGAATAAAATTAATGATCACCAGAATAACAATATTCATGATTCTGAAGCTGAAAATACAAAATTATTTTAGATGCATATGCTTGGACTCTTTCACTGACTAGATATATTTAAAATAATGTCGGACACTTTTTTACTGGTAACATCAAACATTTGGTATTATCAGAACCCACAAATATTCCCCCATTGCATTATTATACATTATAATCAACATTATATATAGTAGTTTAATGTAGTACTGACACTAAAACTCTGAAAACTTGCATTTTTTCTCACACAGTAATTTTTATTTTGGGGGGACTATTCACGATACATATTGTCACTATCCATGATACATATTGTTGCAATTTTGTATTACGATATATTGAGGCACGATATATTGTTACACCCCTAATATTAAGATCACGTGAAGACTCTGACGTACCTGCATTCTGGAGAAAGATCTCCATTCAGTGTGTGTGTGTCCTCCATGATTCAGTCAGTCTTCATGTCCAATCTAATGAGCAAAAAACACTGATTCAGACACACTGACAAACAAAAGCACTTCATATCTTTTGTAATTTTCTTGAATGAGTTTATGAGGACAAAATAATGTGGTTTATAAGATGGCTGACCCGTCAAAGCACTTTATAGGAACATGTATTTGGTCAATCTGCTATGCAGTATTGTTAAAAACGATTCATTTTGGTTTAATTTAAGTTAATGTACATTACAGTATGACATTTTATGAACATTTATATAAGCACACCTAAAATTATTCTATAAAATTATATAAAACGAAAATAATGTAACATAATGTCATAAACAGTTCACAAAAATAATTTTACCAAACTCCAACTTAACAATAACACTAAAATCTCATTTGCAATATCTTTTCCTTAATAATTTTGCAGATTTTTTTTTTTTTTTTTTGTAAATCTTATTATTTACATTAAGATTAATGTTCCAAAAATGTGTAACAAACCAGTCGGATGAGGCAATGTTAAGGTCACAAGGGAATGTGAGAAAAATGTAATAACATTTCTGTATTGCTGTGAAAATAGAGTTATGTTTAAAATAATAATGTAACAAAAAGCATAAAACAAACTCATAACCTTGTGTAAAAATGTAAATAATGTATCTAGTTTAATTTGATATATAACCAGTCCCACAATAATTTCACAGGATTATAGCAGAATTTAATATTTCTGATCATTTCTGCCCAAATTAAATTAATTTGTCACAGCTTTACCCCAAAGAATTTGGGCGATATTTATGGATTTTGATTAGCTAATACTGCTTTTCAAGCAGTAAAAACAGTACTTTTCCTCTGTTTAAAGAACAGAAATATCATGGCTGAGCAGACTATGAAAGTGACTAAACATACACAAATATTTGTTCATTTTCCCAACTTGTTTACTTTCTTAAAATTAAATGTTTCCTATTTGTTTGCATTTTATTTAAAAGTTCAATAAAACCTTAAAATTATTATATAAATTCAAACAAAATTTAAGCTGATATACTTTTTCTACAACCACCCCACCAACTGTTACTTTGTACAATTTGTACTTTAAGTTAAAATAAACAAAATTATATTGTTTTTGGTTAAATTAATTTGATTCCAGCTGCCTTTTCTAGAACGTTGTTGTAGCTAAAAGAAGCAATGGTCCCCAATCTCTACCAAAATTTGGCTTGTATGTCCGAAATCTTATTATCATATCTTAATTAAGATATGATAATAAGATCAATAACTACATATTACTTTAAATGCTTCATATTTGAGGTAAGTAGTTCTAGTTCCTGGTTTCTTAAGGTAATGAGTAAGTCACTTCATCAGCAGCTCACCTGAAGACTCACCTTGACTGAAATGTTAGTCTTCTAGACTCAGATTCTCAAAATGTTCATAGTTTCCCATAAACTACAAGTCAATTCCTGCATAAGCAACAGAAAAAGAAATACTATTAGACAAATTCTTGCTCAGTTTTGCTGATGTAAAGGACGTTACGCTCAGGTGTAAAATGGCGCATGTGAAACACAATGGCCCTCATTTATCATTCTTGCGTAAACGGGCGTATATTTTGGTGTAAGATTACGCTTACACTCCTCTCACCGCCTGATTTATGAAGATGTGCGTACCTTTGAAATCCAGGTGTACGCAAAGGCTGCCCTTGATAAATCCCGCGGCCGAAAACGATCGTCATTAGAATAACACGCCCCTAAATATTCAAGTCTCCGCTCCCCCCACGCCCTCATTTTACGCCATGGACACACGGAAGACGGCAAAGAAGAGAAACTTCTCCGACGTGGAGCCGAAATGACCTATCACAATGCATTATTTTACAGCACGTCTTTTGAAATAAGCATTCAATTTCGAATCACGTCACATGTATAATAGTGATGCATGATGATGATGATGTGAAGTAGCCTAACATTCATTCACATTAATAATTGGATGACAATTTGTAATATTCTTCTTATTATGATTTAATGACGCTTATTGATATTTAGAAGAAAGATGTCGTTATTGTTATTTGTATTATTATCATTTAAAAGAAGAAGAATGCATTTTTTATTATTTTGTCAGTCTGAATTATTTTTTGGTCATTGAAAGCCTTTCATTACCGAACCGAGTCCGTGCGCACCTGCCGGGGATAGCTGAAACGGCGGGGTAAAGTCCACAGGCTCGCAACTGAAGGAATACATATTCTTACAAATCAAATGCTTTGGTAAAGTCACACAAATTAAACATTGAATTCCACGTTGCACAAAAATAAACACTGAAGTTTATAATTAGCCTATGTTGTTGTTTTTTTGTTTGTTTATTTAATTTTTTACAGTGGGTCATAATATATCACATCTTTTAGTATGTCAGTGCGTTTTGTGGTGTTAGGAATTTTTCTGCGCATTTCCTCACTAACTCAAAACGTGCGTACACCACCTACTGAGCTGGAGAGAATAATCCAGAGCAGAGTCCGGGCAGTGAGTTCTGGGAAATGTAGTTGTGAGTGAAACATGAACATCTGGTGTGGAGTGCCCTCTGGTGACTCTCAAGGGCACTCCACCTGGAGACCGTGACATAAATAGTGTTTTATGATAAATTGTAATAATCATGTCTAATGAAATCATATAACGGCCAATGTTAAGAAATAATACGACGTACATTTAACTTTATTGATGTCATCTGACATTTTGTAATGTTTACATTGCAATCAAAAAACACAAATGAAATTACCATAGGCTATTTACTTGTGATTTATCAGAAATCATGTAAAAATCGTTATAGGCAACTTTTTAAATATAAAGTAGTCTATCACTTGACATATAGTTATTAACCTATTATTACCATCATCAGTAGTTCAGTAAGCAAGTCGGTTATTTACGATAGTGCAAGTACACCACAGCTGCTCTAGGGGTCACTGTTTTACAAAAACATCAGAGCTGTGACTCAATCTGCTCAAACTCAAACTCAATCTATGATAGTCTGTCTATAACGAGCTATGCAATATTATTGTTAGGTATTATTTTTGCATTGAAAAAAAAAAAGATTTTTGTATTATTAATATTTTATCAGGGCACTCCTGCAAGAAAGCAGCCGCTGCTTTAGTACGGGTGTCAGCTGACCAGCGGTTGGCCAATCACAGATCAGCTGGTGACGTCGCCGAGGCTGTAAACATGTACAGTATAAACACATGGCTGTCAGCTCCTGCACTCAGACAGTCAGCATGGACAGAGTAAGTCTTCTCACTTCATTATTACTCAATGCTGGGGTTTCTTCTGTCTCACTGAACTCGTACTTTAATGTGTTTGTAACTATAGATGTGTCGCTGTTGTTACATCATCGCTGCCGTATTATTTTGCATTACAAGTCCGCTTGTTTTCAACACTGAAGTTTGCAACGAAACTATTTAAAAGATTAACACGGTCGGCTATTTCATTTAATGAAAAAAAAACATCATGCAAATAACAACTTGTAGTTGCACATCGAAAAGGTAATAACGTGATAATAGTAAACGCTGAATTGTTTCTGCGCCATTAGCTCCAGTTTACAAGCTGTCAATTCTGTTCCTGTCAGAAATACTGCGTCGTAGTTTTCATTAGTTTACTATTATTCTATTATAGTGTGGGAAAGAGTCAGTGCTTTTCAGTAAAAGGCGTAAATTCAGTATGGTGGCACTTTATACATAGTTGAACTTCAAACAATATGATGAGGGATTTTATCTTCATCTAAAAAGGGAAATAGTGGAGGACTGTGGGACTCGGTGAAGAAAGCCGCTTTTGTCATCGGATCTGGGCTTTTCTTCCTGGTCGGGTTTAGAAACTCAGTGACATGGTGAGCAATTTTCATTTTCATGTCAGCCTTGCATTAAACCTCATGATCTGCTGCCTGTGCTGTATCTGTCCTGTATCCAGCGATCATTAATCATTAAAGAGCTGCTTGTGTTTTGAAGGCATTTGCAGAGGTTTTGGGGAGCGTCTGGAGACTTCTGGCAGACACAGTGGACCAAGCTTCACCAAGCCATGGGTGGAAATGAGGCTGCCTTGTTCTTTATCGGTTAGAGATTAGTAAAACTTGTTTTTAACCTTTATGCAGCTTCCCCTCTGGACATTGATCATGAAATGTTCATCTGTTGTTCCAGACTGAACCATCTGCCTTTAAAGTACAAAAAGAGAACATATTGATCTTTGTTAGTGTCAGTCTGGACCTGGAAAAGTTGGCAAAAACCACTGTATTCTGCATCAAGACATTTTATTTAGTTGAACTTACCAAATAATGCAAAGAGTTGAAAGTGGTTTCTGGCCAAACATGACTGTCTGTGGTGTTGAACAGGGACGATGCTGGTGCCGACGCTCTCCTTCTGGCTGTTCAATGCCCTGCTGATGCTGGTCGACACGACGGGGAAGCCGAGCTTCATCACACGCTACAGGATCCAGCCTGACAAAAACAATCCGGTACCGTCCTGTTTAAACTCTGAACCACGTCTGTTTCGAATGGTACGGGAGTCATCCTAGGGCCGTCCAACCCCATCTCACAGCAATTCGTACAAATTTTACAAGGTTTACAGCCTCACTCTTACGAATTAGTAAAATTTTTGCTAAATCGTACATATTTTACGAGTTGGCCAATTTGTATGAATTCATACGAATTACCTACCCCTGACCCCGCCCATAAACATACCCATCAAGACAAGAGGGTATAAATCGTATGAATTAGTAAGAAATAGACACTTTTTAATCACTCGTACGAATTGGTCCTGAGATAGCGTTGCCATCATTCCATCATTTTAATTGACTCTAATTACAACTGACCAGTGTCGAATAATGTTACAAAATATTCCATTTCAGATAAATGAAAATTAAAGCAAATTAAATTAACTTAAAGGGTTAGTTCACCCAAAAATGAAAATTTTGTCAGTATTTACTCACCCTCATGTTGTTCCAGCCCCGTAAGACCTTCGTTCATCTTCGCAACACAAATTAAGATATTTAAGATATTAAGATCGCTCCATAGGCTTCTTGAGGGACTGGCTCTTGCTGGCATCGAAAAGTCATTAAAGACATCGTTAAAATAGTCCAAGTGACTACAGGGGCTCAATTTTAACTTTATCAAACGACGAGAACACTTTTGTGCGCAAAAAAACAACAAAAATAACGACTTTATTTCAACTATTGGTTTATTTTCTCCCTCTGCGCGAGTCAGGTTACTAGTTTA